TGGCTAATATTTTTATTAATTGTAGAGATGAGGTTTTGCCAAGTTGCCCAGGCTGGTCTCGAACCCCTAGACTCAGGCAATCCTCTCACCTTCAGCTTCCAAAGTACTGATTTTACAGGCGTGAGCCACCATGCCTGGTCTGTGAAGGCTTTTGAAATGTCCACTCACTGGCCTAAACTACAGCCCCCAGAATTCTTTTTCAGGTATGATTCCGGTGAGGCAGTTATCGTCTCCACTTCCCTTGTCTCTCATTCACTCTTCAAAACATGACAAGTGGATTTTGAACAATACTCCATTAAAATCATTCTCACCAAATCGCCAGCTGACCTGCTTATTGTTGAAAACAGTGAACTCTGTGTTATTCTTGCCCTCTGAGCCACTTGACTGTGCCTTCCTTTATTTATTTATTTATTTTTAGTTGGGGGTCTCTGTTGCCCAGGCTGGATTGCAGCGGCATGATCACAACAATTGAGGATCATGGCTGCCTCAACTTTCTGGAATCAGGTGATTCTTCTACCTCAGTATACCAAGTAGCTGGAAATAAAGGCTTGCACCCCCCATGCCCGCTAATTTTTGATTTTTTGTAGAGACAAGTTTTCTCTGTGTTGCCCGGTCTGATGTTAAACTCCTGAGTTCAAGCAATCTGCCCGCCTCAGCTTTCCAAAGTGCTGGAATCACAGGTGTGAGCCACTGTGCCTGGCTTGTCCTTCCCTTTAAATAATCCCTTCCCTGTATTTTCATAACATTGGACTCTGGGTTTTTCTCCTACTTCTCCATTATTTCTCCATCTCTTCCTTTGCACGTTCCTTAAATATTTCTGTCCTTGGGCCATCTCTCTCTTCATTTGACACTTTTTTTTTTTTTTTTTGAGTTGGAGTCTCACTCTGTCACCCAGACTGGAGTGCAGTGGCCGTTCCCGGCCACCGCAGCCTCGACCTGCTAGCCTCTGGCAATCCTTCCGCCTCAGCCTTCCAAGTAACCAGAATTACAGGCACGCACTACCACGCCTGGCTGATTTTTTGATTTATTGTAGAGATGAGGTCTCACCTGCCCAGGCGAGTCTCGAACCCGCGGGCTCAGGCAATCCACTTACCTCAACCTCCCAAAGGCACGGGATTACAGGTTCATTTGACACTTACTGGGTAATTCCATATGCTTTCATGGCTAAATTATCTTTTTGTGTGTGTGTGTGTAGAGCCAGGGCTTTTACTGTGTTGTCCAGACTGGTCTCAAACTCCTGATCTCAAGTGATCATTCTGCCTTGGCCTCCCAAAGAGTTGGGATTAGAGCAACCACGCCCAGCCAAATGGCTTAATTTATCTTCTTCTATTTATTTATTTATTTTTGAGTTGGAG